TATGTCTTGATAACTTAATTGGCATTGACCTTCCTTGTGAAGATTAATCGAAATTCTATATATTTAAACTAGATTTTAGGTTGTTTAAATGTTTTTCGTCACGGAAGCACTATCAAGATAGTAATTATTACCAGTTTGAGTTGTTTATGTTTTTATTCGGTCGTAAAGAAACTATTTATTGATCATAAAATCAGGTATGTTCAATATATAGAATGCTCTGGTGAACTGTGAAGTCTAACAGTCACGTCCATTTTGTAAATTAGTAGCATTGGAAACGTGGTGACCACGCGGTAGCCAGCTGTTCACGACACAAACATTGTAAAAAAAACAATATAACTACTATGTAACATTGTCATGTACTGAAAATACGATTGATTTAAATTGCTTGCTTAACGTTCAGTTGCAATTATTTCATGCATATATTCAGCACTCAAATTCATTAACAATCTATACAATAGGTAGGTTGTGCAAGATCAAACCCAACGTGTCAGATGATATATCTAGGAAAGTTTATCCTGCTTAGAAAGACCCTTACAAACGTTATAAACCTGCAGCGACAAATGAGTTTGCACTGAAAAACATGGAATACTGGTTATAAGGACCTTCATTTTGTCTTGAAACAGCTACCTTTAGACCCCAAAAAGATTTGATACAAAAATTCTTCACGCGAATAGACCACGACACTCTCCCTACACGAGGCATCGGTTCCAATCGGACGTTATAGGGTATTTATAAATCGCATATGCTCCTCTTTACTGTTGGTTGTACTGCCGAAGGGGACAATTTCAGGTGGCCATATTTTCCTACCCTAAGTCAACAGTTACAAAAGCTAAATATTTCCACTAAAAAAATCGCTTTCATAATGTCTGGACATTATACCCTTAGTGACCTTTCTTGTCACGAATCAGAAAAATAGTATTATAGTATTCCGTTAATTTGACCTAGACGAGTGTAGAAGTGTACTCCCCAATGCAAATGTATTTCTTAACGATTGTTTAAAAAAACAGATACTCCCTGAGTGAACGGCTTTTTAATGTTTCAAAACATAATATGAAGTTGATGCAATACATATAAATGTATATGAACGTATTACATTGAGGAGCTGACATATAGCTTATAGCCTAGGCAACGTACAATAAAATAATTTGAATTCTAATCAATTTAAATTACCCAAGAAGCACCATGATACTTCAGATAAGTTAAATGTGATGATTTTATAATAGAACCGTAGAAAAATATTGCATCACGTACAGGACAAAAAAAAAGAAATATGGAAATTTCATCATTTAAATTCTCCTCGAACTGACAGTTTGTTAAAAACAGTTTGAATTTTCAGTATAGCTTTTTTTTTATTGTTACAGTTATTGAACTCTTATATTATACGTATCAAATGAAATAGCTCAAAAGAAATGGATGAACTATAATTATCCAAAGAAAAGGAATACAGCAATGCACCACATAACCTTCCATTAAAAATGTTTTTTTCAATAAAAACATAGAAAATAATATCGATTACAGTATTAGATTATCTGAGCATTAAAATGAAAACAATTTAAAGTAGGTTGCAATAAAAACGAAGACCTATTTTAAAACACTTTTAATATAAATCAATAAAGCTTTATGTGTTCTCAAAAAGATACACGCGTAGTGAGTTGATATGAAATAATATTTGTTTAAATGTTTAAATGTGTTTAAAGAATAAGAAATTCTCATAACTATATGACTTTTTGACACACTGAAGAAAAAAAGATGTTTGTCTGCCTCATATCTTAACTTCATCTAGAAATTGACAATGAGGGTCGATTAATTTGAAAACAAAACTTCACGACAAAAGAGATGATTTCAGAACTTTCCATTTCTATGTAGCAACATTCCAGCAGCGCCTGCATACGGAGTATATATCTCCCAGTTGATACGAAATTCCAGGGCTTGTATTTCCTATCATGATTTCCTTGATAGAGAGTTGATGCTCAAAACGAAGCTATTAAACCAAGAGTTCCAAGTGGCGAAGTTGAAATCATCTCTTCGTAAATTTTCGGACGCCATCACGAGTTGGTTGACCGTTATGGAATATCCGTTTCACAGATGACAGCGGATATGTTCCATTTGTCGTAACTACAATCCCGATCCCCCTTTTTTCCCCGAATGTGACCTACCAGTTTAGACTTATTACCGGGTTTGTACTAACAAGAGCAACACGACGGGTGCCTACCGGAAAACCTGAGATCACCCATTGATTTTGGTGGGGTTCATGTTGCTCAGTCTTTAGTTTTCTATGTTGTGTTTTGTCTACTGTTGTTTATAGATATAAGAAGATGTGGTATGAGTGCCAATGAGACAACTCTCCATCCAAGTCAAAATTTATAAAAGTAAACCATTATAGGTCACAGTACGGTCTTCAACACGGAGCCTTGGCTCACACCGAACAGTAAGCTATAAAGGGCCCCAAAAAATGTCTGTTTGTCTTTTTCTTTTTTAGCCTTGGCGTTGTCACTTTATTTTTGACTTATGAGTTTTAATGTCCCTTTGGTATCTTTCGCCTCTCTTGTACGCTTCAATTTTTTCCTATTCTTTGTTTTACGGGTGTCCGTAATAATATGCATTGTAGGGATGCCAGATTAGCTTTGGCTGTTTAAAATTCTTACAGAGAACATATCATAAGAATTTGTCTATCTTGTTAGGTCCCTTTCGGTCATATAGCTCTTCACGTGGAGAAGTATTTCTACATCCTTGGCTTTCAAATCTGTGGGTTAGAGAATTCATGATGAAGTTAAATCCAGAATAGGAATCATTCTGCTTGACTACCACTTATTATGGAGGCATTCATAATTTTTAAGTAAAGTATGGGAAAGATTGCTATGCGATCCGGGCGGATATTGTCTGGTTAAATATTCATCCAACAGAGTAACGTATAAGTGCTTAACAAACTCTCGATTTGTATACAGGAGTGGAGGGTCATACAATTCCATATATATATATATAGGTCAAAACAAAGTTAAATTTGTGGTGAGATCGGACATCTATTTACAGAACAAATTTATATATAAATATGAAAATGCTGAAAGTGGCAAGAAACCGTTCAACTTTATGTCACTAGCTTAAAATCCATCGTCCTGAACATGTATGATATACTTTCCACTGGACGTAAAACTATACAGAAACATGTACATATATTGTACATATATTTGGCTTAACTGTAATTTCAGATCAAATTTCAAATCCAAGAAAATGAACATAATGATAGTAATAATAAGGGTCCCAGCTATGTTTTTTTCTTCTTCTAAAGATTATTTTAATCTGATCCAAAAGTAAACGGCTTGGAGATAAAACATTGTATCATCCGATTGATATTACAAATCGCAAGACACCAGCGCTCCAGTTAGGGGTTGGGACCGGTATAATATTCTTCAATAAAATTGTCTCTTAGTGAAAAGGGTACATATTAGGGATGATTACATGTACGACCTTTGTCATTGTAACGGCTCACTACCACATACGAGTTCACTGAGAAATATAAAAATATTTGTATATTAGGGAATAATTTTCAGTTTGAAATATAAATTGTACCTTTAGGCAAATGAACATTGTAATCTTCACGTTACACTTTTGTTGTATTTAGACGCTCAAGGATAAGATATAAAATATCAGAAAGAAAAAAAACATACTTTATATGACAGTCAGTGTCTTCTTTACATCCCGTTCAAATTCTTACAAACACCAGACGACATCCTCCGTATTAATAATAATGATGACCAATTGATGGTTTTATTACAACAAGAGGGGAAACCAATTTTAGTTCAAGGGCTTCCACAATATAATTTTGTTTACTTAAGGTGTTTTATGTGTAAAGTGATGTCAATAGTCTATTTCGGTGTGCGCAGTTTACTTAAGAGTAACTTACAGGAGAATAACAGTATTTTGATACCCATATTGTTCACTTTTGACCCGTTTTACAATAAGATTGAAAATGTGTTATTTAATAGAACTATAACCTACTTGATCTTTATACAGCTTAATTCAAATTTGTTCTTTATACCTCGCTTTAATTTGTTCACTTTTTTTAAAGATAAATAAAATTAATAGACGTGGAATAATGCAGATGAGAGCTTATACAAATTGTTTTAAAATACGGGTGTCGTTTTCAGTCCCCCTTTTTGTCCCAATTGAATCTTCTGCTCATTGTAGTTCTCAATATATATTCCTACATTAACTAATTGTAGGTACAGCTTTCTGAGTGATTGTAGGATTATTTTCTTTCAAATATTTGTATTAACAACGAAAAAGATTTGCTTAACGTTTAGGCTAATTGTTAATAGATACTTGAATTTTTGATAGTCATTTAAGAAGGTTTTCGGACATGCAACCTTTATTTTAACAGTATAAAGGCCAATGATCTAAAAATGAAACACATCTCCAATTTATCAGTTTCGTTTTTTCTTTTCACCTTCTGGAAAAATTTCAAAAGCAAATGCTATTTATCTCCCATTTATCATGTAAAAATTGCACAAATTACATTATGACCAACTACTAGTATTTAAAGTTAACAACTACAACATGTGTTTCGTATGGACTTGTAATACAGACGAATTTTCAAAATTCAAAGACAAACAAGAATATGCGTCCCTTGGACACCAACCTTGCCCAGATCACACTTTCATATATTCATGTTCAGTGAACTGTGAAATCTGGGGGGGGGGGGGGGGGGGGGAATCTATTTCATTTATACACGAGTACATGTATCTAAAAGTTTACATTACAATGAACATGTGTATAACCATTTTTCTTCAAATTGATGTGACCACAACTTCATGGTAACTACCTTAAACCAAAATTTCAACCCGATTTGAGATGGGAGAATTAAACGAACGGATATACAGATCAGAAAACATAATGCCCCCTTCTATCGAAGGTGAGGCATACAAACGAAGGGGACTGTAGTAAGCTCAGCCCTTTCGTGTATCTACCCAATATGCTTTCTTTACCATCTTATATTTTCTTACCTGGAATCAACAGCATGCTAAATTCATCCAAAAAATGTATCCACATTAATACATGTAAATCAACTTTAATTCTCCATTCAACAACCAGTATTCGTTAAATTGATTCCTATATATAACTTCCGAAAAGACACTTTTGTACAGGATATTTTCCTTTCGGTTTTTATGTATTGTCGTTAAAGTAAATATTTCAGCTGTGAATTATTCTGTTCAAAATTAATTTTCTTTGCTAGATCGATGACTATGTTAAAATTTAAACTATTAATTTTACAGGTTCGTAAAATTCCGGATCATCAATGAAATTGTTGATTTTTTCACGTAGCTGTTGATTTTTCACGTAGCTCTGTTTATATTACCCAACACACAATTATAATTTTTAAAGACCATTCAGTTTAGTTATTAGCTAAATCCTTTTTAAATTTGTTTAATTATTCAATTAAAATACAAAAAGAAACCATGTTTGTTTAACAGCGAAGGTCAGTATATAAAAATAGTTTTGACCCGATAGTACGTCGTTAAAACAAGAACAAAGACATTTAACACGGGACAAAGTGCTAATACTTTAAAGTCTTTAAAAAATTTAACAAAAAACTAGACTGAATTTGAAAAAAGACTGCGTTACAACTATTTTAACATTGTTACACATATTCAACGTTAAGTATTTTTAAAATAAACATTGAAACTTAACGATTTTTAAGTTGCACACTTGAATTGGTATAGAGTTAAGTACTGATTTTTCATATGTATATATTATATTCTTTTGTGTTACTTTTGAATATATATTTGCATGGTAGAGATTGAAACGGGGGAGAAATGAAACCTCAAAAGTATACTTCAATCCCTCAATAATTTTATGTGCTGTTCCAAGTAAGTAACCAGATGCGGATCCAGGATTTTTGAAGAGGGGGGCGGGGGGTGATTCTCCATATATACCGACGATTTTATGCTAACACTTTATATATATCGTGAAAAACATAAGAAGCTTTGTTTTTTTTTTGCGATCAAAGGGAGGGGGCGAACGCCTGAGTGATTGTTTTTGTCGTAATGATTTTTCGTCATTTGGAGAAGTTGCCGTTAGTAACAGATCATTTGATTGTCTCTTTCAAATGTATTCACCTCTTTGAGACTCTTTGCGTTTAGAGGTTTTAGAGTTTAACATATTGTGTATACATCTTTTTATGTTGAAGACCATGTGTTGACATCTACATGTATATATCATTTGGTTTCTGTGCCTTTGGATTGCTGGCTCATTTACGTATACCCCGCATTCTCTTTTATTTACTTATTTTCAAACATGTTTAATGAAATTAAATGTACATTTTGTTAAAACAGTCAATTATAGTTTCAAAATTAGCTACATCTGAAGAATTAAGGCAATTTGACATTGTAGTATATAACGGTATGATTTATTTGTCCGGTCGGGTGGGTTGGCAAAAAAAAAACAGCAAATCAGAATCGGATGGAATACCAGATAGTTCCAGTAATCCGAATAAGATTCAGTCGTTATTTATTCTGGTGCTCTACGATGACTATATTAACCTCGCATGTAGGAGAGATCGATTACGGGTAGGGTTTGACTTTTTGGGTTCGATGTTCAGCAATTTCTGGAAAGGAGACCTAACCATCATGCCATCAGTTTATCGTGGCATTGATAATTCATGGGGGCATCCTCCCTGCTGATCAATTTGCAGAACGTGCCTTAATATATGTATTTAAATGACCTAATATAGAACATTACTGATTTTTTTTGCTCTGAATATAGAAACAATATTTGCAACAATCATTCGTACATTACGGCAAAAACTAATATATGCCAGCTTCCAACACTGGTTCGGGAACATAGTTTTCATTCATCCTTTGATTTTCGTTGCTTGTCAAGTGTGGACATTGTTTAACTTAAAATATTTTTTGATTTTTTTTTAATTTTTTAAATTTCCAAATTTATTTCTTTATACTTAAAGTAAAAAATAGTAAGTACAAATGTAGGGGATGAAATTTCATGTAAACAAATTTGGGAAATGAATGTTTAGGTAAAGGAGTGATTTTGTCCAGTTGAAAAGGATAAAAAATTAGTAAGTCTTAAACTGTCAAACTGAGTTTAAGGTCCCCTTAAGATAAAATTGTCCTTATTTTGAGTTAGAGCTGGTAGCTCTGTATAGTCTTTCCTATAATTTTGATATAATTTGTCCCAAAAGTAGCACACTACACTGTAAAAAAAATGTTTGAGACAGAGCAGGTGCGATGTTTTAAATTTGTAAAGAAATGCACCACGAAATAACTGTGTTCTCGGCCTAGCTGTTTGGTAAATGGAATGACGGTTGACGTTTATGCTGATATTTAGATTAGTGTAACAGATGTTTCTGTTATTCAACGCAAAAGGAGGGTGTGATGTTGGTCACATATATTTGCATTTGTTTTTAATTAGACAAATTTATATGACTTTTTCTTGTGATCTTTAAAGTTTAAAATATTTATTTATACATTCAATAAGTCGAATAACACTGCATTCAGATATAATTGTCTCGAAGACGATTTCAAAAAATAATTCTTTCACTATTGATTAAAAGGCGTTATTATATATGTATGGTCGAACACGAACAGTCTACATGTTTGATTTGCATATTTATTGAATATTCCATCTTTTTAATACAATGAAATAACCATATACATGGTTCGTTTTCTGTTTAATATCAAAACAATCCCCTTTTCCAAAAAAAAAAGAAAAAGTTTCGATCCACAAAACAATAAAACAATACTGAGGCAAATAATTCAAAAATGGCCACATTTAATATGAACCTTTATTTTAGTACCAATCTGATTAAAATACAGATTATGTGTCCAAGCTTAGCTTAGGCTCTTCCTTTCTGTTTTAAAGACTTTTCGGGATCCTCAGGTATTGTCGGATTAATACACAACTTCTAATATTTGAAGGCTGAAATTTCCTTGGCTGATGTAATAACCACCAGAATAGAAAGTAAAACGGGTTGTAGTCAGATCCGTGTAAGCAAAGCTTGAACACATGATCTGTTTTTCAACCAGATTGTGTTTAAAAGATATTTCGGGATCCTCTGGTTTTGTCGGATTAATACAGACCTTAAAAAATCTGAAGGCTAACATTTTATTGGCTGATCTAATTATTACCAGAACAGAAAGTAAAACGGGATTGTTTTCGTATATGTTGTTTGATGGAGGCAAAAAAGCTCATATCTTAGGTGTGGTATATATTCTCTAAATCGTATATGTGTATTCCATGTCCCTATTTAATACAGAATCTATATTGACATAGATTTCGGTTTCTGTTCAAAATTGGTAAAAAATATAGGGGCCTGCTTATGACTAAGACCTATCTTACGATGATATTAGGACATGTCATAACGAAAGACATTTGTTCGAAAGTTTCCTAAGTTACGATATGTAATAACTTTTATCGTAAACTTAAGACACCTCGCGACATGACTGATGATGGTCTTATGATTATTATAAGTCCGGCGTGATTTTCGTTTATTTTCTGCTAGCTTCTTTTCAATACTACTAACTTAACAGGTCTATTTTTTTCGAATCTCTTTTACTGTTCTAAGGTGATCAGTGTCATTTACTGCATTTGTCTTTGCACATGCAGCCTCCCATGCTCTCTTTTTGGCGCTGTTTGTTGTTGCTAAATTAATTTATCTACCGTGTATGTAAAGCACCTGTTAATATGTACAAGCTGCAAACTATAATTTAAATGTTTGTGTCGCAAATGACAAAATCGATGTGTAGAAATACTAGAAAAGTTCATTTGAACATCACACCTGAATTCAGTGACTAATAGGGCCAGTTAAATTGACATGCATTCACATACATAGAACTTCCTCCCAAATGGAGATTTAAAGATTTTGAGATATAACCTGCATTGTTACTTAACAATTTCTATATTAAATTATATGCTAAACTTGAAGATACATTTGCAATAACGTTTGATTTTCCACACAATTGAACAACAATTTATATCCAATAATAGCTATTAAAACATTTCCATAATTTGTTTGCAGTCGTAAATATTTTCTTGAAGTACAGTTTACGTAATCGGAAACACTGTGATTCTAGATAACAAAAACTGTCAAATTGATGTTCACCGATTACTCAGATTTTCATATTTGATTTATAACATACTAATATCCACATTACAAAAACTCCAACAGAAACAATTTACAATTCATGGACTCCTTTTAAATTAGCATTTCGTGTGTAATTTAGACTTGTGTAGTTAAATTAACCATTCAAATGAACTCATTGCCATACAACTCGATATAATTATAATAACATAAACATAAATATTACACTAACAGATACGTGTAATCATAATATAGACGGCATTTTTTCTAGGTCTGTTTGATTTCATGTCATCGATTGAAAAATATGTAAAAGAGAGGCGAAAGATACCAGAGGGACAGTCAAACTCATAGATCGAAAACAAACCGACAACGCCGAGGCTAAAAAATAAAGACAAAAAGACAAATAATAGTACACAAGACACAATATAGAAAACTAAATCATCGTTTTACCTGAATAAGAATCAGTCAATGAAATGGATTTTCCCCGTGGCTACCTAGTTTTACTTTCCAATGTTAACTTTCTTTTCTCTTTAATAACTGAACAAGTATTTGTTTTTGTAATTTTTAATAGTTCATTTATATGTTTTAGAGTTTTGTGTGACGTCCATTTTCACTGAACTAGTACACATTTTTGTTTAGGGGCCAGCTGAAGGTCGCCTCCGGGTGCGGGATAGTCTCGCTGTGTTGAAAACCCTTTGGTGGCCTTCGGCTGTTTTCTGCTCTTTGGTCGGGTTGTTGTCTCTTTGACACATTCCCCATTTCCATTCTCAATTTTATTTACACAAGCGTTACATATCATCGGCTGAAGGTTAAATTGAAGGTCAGATGAATACGTGTTCAAATGAGTTGAATATTGACTTGCAAGCCAATAATATATATTACCGATGTTTTTTTAGCTTATTTTGACGAAATTGAACCAAGCTCACTGCTAATCATGCTATTAGCTAAATGTTTGATAGAAAGAAAAAATATTTTAATTCTTTTGCAAAATCATAGCCAATGCCCCTTTATGTGTCCGAAAATAATACTAAAAGGGGGATCAAGTCAAATTTTCCTAACACATCACATAGTCAGAAAGATGGATTGATTATCGTTTGCCTAACGCCCAGTGACAAATATGTCCTGCAGAATCGGGTGGAGAACAACTTAACAATAAATCTAATAGATATGTCCTGCAAAGGGTGTGTATTGGTTTGAAGGGCAGTAATACCGACTGCTGCTGGAAAATGAGGATACAATG